ATGTGTCAACGGAACAAATTTTAAACCATCTCAACACTAGGTCTCTTACAACCTTTACCAATTCCACAGCAAGTATGGCATGATGTGAGTATGGACCTTATAGTGGGACTGCCTAATTGTCAAGGAAAAACTGTTATTATGGTGGTTGTTGATATATTAACCAAATATGTACATTTCATTGCACTCTCTCGCCCTTACACTACCACTAATGTTGCCCAAGTGTTCATTAACAATGTCTTAAAATTGCATGGGTTGCCTAGCTCTATTGTGAGTGATATAGATCCTATTTTTGTGAGTGCTTTTTTGGAAAGAGATATTCAAATTGCAAGGAACAAAGCTATGCATGAGCTCTGGATATCATCCTCGGAATGATGGCCAATCTAAGGTCATGAATAGATGTTTGGAGACTTACCTAAGATGCTTTGTTGGAAGGCAACCTCGAAAATGGGTTCAGTGGCTTCCTTAGGCTGAATGGTGCTTTAACACCTCTTATCACACTTTAACCAAGACTACCCCATTTGAACTGGTCTCTATGGATACCCCTTCCCCCCCCCCCCCACCACCACCACCACTTATGCAACCTTATGAAGTTGGCACTGCAAGGTTGGAATCAGTGGAGCAAAAACTCAGAGAAAGGGATAATGTGTTGTGTGCGCTCAAGCGTAATCTAAAAATGGCTCAAAATAGAATAAAGTTGCAGGCATATAAGAAGAGGACTGAGAGACACTTTTAGGTAAGAGATATGGTGTACTTAAGATTGGTACCTTACCAACTTCAATCACTAGCTCCCCATAATTACCACAAGTTACAGCTTCGTTTCGTTGGGCCTTATAAGGTGCTGGAAAAAGTGGGAAATGTAGCCTACAAGCTCCAATTACCCCCAGAAACCAAGGTTCACTTAGTTTTCCATATGAGTTACCTTAAAACGCAACTAGGAAACAATGTGATCCCAAATCCCACACTACCATTGAGCACTGAGGATGGTCTTCAATTGGTGGAACCTGTTGCAATCTTAAATCGCAGGATGTATAAGAAAGGAATGGTTGTTGGGGTACAACTCTTGGTGCAGTGGAAAGGACAAGATGTTGTCGATGCTACTTGGGAGGATTATGAGGCATTCAAGGCTCGATTTCCAGAATTTGCAGTGTAATCTTGAGGACAAGATTAGTTTTGAATGATGAGTTATTGTTATGATCTTGTGATTGCCTTAGTCACAAGTAACAGAATTTGGAGTCAAATTGTAATTGTTTGGGGTTTCATTGCAATTTGCATTTCTTTCTAGTTCTATTTTTAATAATTGGTTGTTAGCCTACGTGGCAGCTCACATTAGTGTATCGAGCTATTATATAAAGCTCTGCTTCCCATTCCAACGGTATGATGAAATTAAATATAATTTTACAAAATAAAAAAAAATACTCATCTTCTCCATTTCGCCATTCTCCATTGCTGCATCTTGCATCTGTGGTTAAGGTTGAATAGGTTTCTGGAATTGGAGCCTATTAAACCAGCATAGCACTATCCCACTAGGGTAAATTTCTCTTTATCTTTTGGGGGTGGACAGGTGTCGAGAATATAAGAGATGGAACATAAACAGAACACTATTTTTTAGGATAGTAAATTCGCAATGAGAAATTTTATTTGAACTCATGTAACTTCTTTCTACACCAAACTTAAATTTAAATTGTTAATTGTCTATCTTACCCTATTGCATAATTATTATTAAGTACAAAATGAAATTAATAATAAATCTAAAATTTATCAATAAACCCATTAAACAACCTTACCATCACTTCTTGTTTATCCTACATTCATTCTGGCTAAAACCCTAATAGGTCTTGTAGAGAAAAACAAGTTTTTTTTATTGATGGATGTTGATTTTGAAATTTTGAATCCTCCAACTAAGGTATAACTCAATTTATGAATATTTTGTTAGTTTGATTTCAATTTTTTTAAAGTTTAGAACATAAGTATTTAGGTTTCAATTTTTTTCATCAATCTCGAATGGTTTGTTAAACTTTCCGCAATTGGAAAATTCTAAGGAAAAACTTATTACCAATATTTTTAGATTATAAACTTCCTTGCTTGATAAATATAAGGGGATGAATTATTTTATTGGGTAATCTTTGTTTACTACCCTTATGTTTCGTGGTTTTCAACATTTAGTACATTAAGTTTTTTTCGTCCCAGAGTCATACCTAAAGTGTTAATTTTGGGACAGTCTCATACATCCGTTAATCAAACTGTTAAGTCTGCCGTTAACTGATGACGTGGTGCTTATGTGGACAATGACTGAGCGCCACGTGTTATTAAGGGTTCCACGTAGATTTTTTTTTCCTTTTTTCAGAAGGGGTTAAAAAAATTAAAAAATAATAATAATAAACCATCTTCTCCCTCCCTCATCCCCTGCACCCTTTCCCTCACTCCCTCATCCCCGCACCCTCTCCATCCCTCATCCCCCGCACCCTCTCCCTCCATTCTCTCTTCTACAACCTGCACCACCCTCCCTTCTCTCCTCCTTCCTCCCTTATCCCTCCATTCTCTTATCTGCACCAACCCACCATGTCGCGGTTCTCGATCTCACCAAGTTTCCATCTTTCAATTCTCTTCAAGCTAAAGTTTAATCATTTTTTTTACACCACCAAGAACAAAAATTCACCAACAAATTTATCCCACCAAACAAATCAAACCCAACAAAAAACAAATCCAAAAAACCAAAAAATAATTCAAGAAAAAGTAAAATAAAACCCAACCTGATCAAATGCCACCAAACAAATCAAACCCAAACTGATCGAGTACAACTCTGAGAAAATGGCACGCTATAAAAGAAAAGCACATCGGGTTGGATCTGGATGTCGTCGACATCGATCTCAAGAGCAAACAAAAGAAAAGCACATGGGTCAATATACGCCCAACCTTTTCAATTACGCTATAAAAGAAATCCTTTGGAGGTGCTGTGACGGCAAGAGAGAGAGGACATCAACAGGAACCACATCGGGTTGGATCTGGATGCCGTCGACATCGATCTCAAGAGCGGCGATCTGGTGAACTCGTGGATCAAGTACGACGGGTCGAGTCAGGTCATCAGCGTCTCGGTTTCGTACTCAAATTTGAAACCCAAAGACCCGGGTTGCAAAAGAGAGAATGGAAGGAGAGGGTGCAGGGGGATGATGCAGAAGCGAGAAGGGAGGGAGAGGGTGCAGGGGATGAGGGAGGGATATGGTGCAGGGATTAGGGAGGGAGAAGACGGTTTTGTTGTTTTTTTTTTTCGAACCCCTTCTAAAAAAAGAAAAAAAAATTCCACGTGGACCCTTAATGACACGTGGCGCCTAGTCATTGTCCACATAAGCGCCATGTCATCAATTAACGGCAAACTTAACAGTTTGACTAACGGATGTGTGAGACTATTCCAAAATTAACATTTTAGGTATGACTCTGAGACGAAAAAAACTTGATGTACTAAATGTTGAAAACCACGAAACATGAAGGTAGTAAACAGAGATTTATCCTATTTTATTTGTTGCTTATACACATTAGTAGAAAGAAAAAAGTCAAATGTTTGGGTTTGGTAGCAAAAAACAAAAAAATAGCCATGGAAATACTAGTGGGAAGAGGAGGTGGGGCAAGGACACCTCTTAAAAATAAAATTACAGATGTGATTTTATAAACAGAATTGGTGTAAAGATAACTTAACATTTTGAATTGGGATTGAGATGGTAGTTTAGGTAATAAATTTAGGTTTAAAGATAGATTAATTTTTTAATAAAAAAACAATATGAATAAAAAGAGTAAGTTAGATGTATTTCGCAACGCACTTGTAAGTTGTTTAACTGTTTAGCATAAACATAGCCTGTCATGTCGATCCTTCGTGGTTTCTGTCCCAGAGCTTCAGTTGAGTTCAGGTCGGTCGGCGCGGCGTTGCGTACCTTCGACTGGGTAAAATTTCTTACTTCCTTCCCTGTTGTCTGTTGGTTCACGCAAATCTCTTGGAGAGCTATAGGCTTGATGTTTTTCAATTACATTAAAGGATTCACAGATTTACTCCTGAGTATTTGCTTCGATGAAATCCATATATTTTGAGTATGCTCCGGACTGGGGCTTTGTGGTTAGGTCACACGGTTACAGTGATTGTTTTAGATCTTGTGGAAGGGAAGAGCGATTGTATTCTGGTTAGATTAGGACAATTTTGCGGACTTTATCTTGTTTTTAACCTAGGGAGCGTATTCAATTGAGAATTTGAGAGACTTTAATGAATTTATAAATTCATGGATTTTTATAGAGTTTAATTGATTTGTGGAGATTCCATATAAAATTTTGATTCAATTCCTTCGAAATCTCGTGGGGAAATGTGAGATTTATGAATGCTTAAAATACACTACAAAATCTCTCTAATTCTCTTTAATTCCTCAACTTTCTCAAATTCTTTAAAATCAATTTCTAATTGAATACACTTAGAATGTTATAAACTTCTTTAAAATCCTAATTGAATACACCTGGATTTCTAAGGATTTTAATTAACTATCTTAAAATTATAATTGAATACACCTTGAATTTAAGAGAATCACTTAATATTCTAATTGAATACCCCTAGATTCATTAAAAGAATTAAAATCCCTCAAAATCTCAATTGAATACACCTCCCTTAGTTTCGCTTTTTTTTGTTATCATGAATTGCAAATTTGTGAATTTTCGAAATCCATCGGCTTTTTATTAATTTTGTAGATGATTCATTCTTTTTCGAGTCTATAAATTAATTGGTCCTCCGCCACTTTCTGCAGCTTCATTTTCATCTTCATCTCCCAGCGTTGCCAACAAAGGATGTGACATGTGTAATTGCTTTCCCTCTTCATTTTCATCTTCCACGAACATCTATTGATAATTTTTCATAAGAAATAAGAAAGCAGTTAGATTTTGTCAGGGTTATAGTCATGATAATTTTCACAAGAAATAAGAATTCTGACAGATTTAGTCAAGGTTATAATAACGAAGAGATCATTGCTTACCCATGCATAACGGCTCATAACAAATTGATTGGAGACTCCATCTCTTAGCATGTCTTCTGTCAATAGCACCGCATAAGAGTCAACAACCTGAGTTGCATTGGTTAATAAATGTGAAATCATGTTATTAGCACAGTGACAATGATTTTTTGACATAAATGATATAACATTCAGCATCTTACGCCATTTGAAATTTCAGCATCACTCAATAGATGACCAAGGTCCTCTCGTCCCACAGTACGGTTATGTGAATCTAAACCATTCCAGAACAAGTCGCTGCAAGATTATGAGAAAAAACAAATTAACCATAATCTCTACGTGTATAAATACAACACCCCAAAAAGTAACTGCCTACATCAAACTTTCCTTAACCCCAAAAAAGCCCCTGCTTAAGAAAAAATGTAAAGAACACTTAACCAAATAAATTAGGGGCAATTTAGTCAAACACAAAATTTAACTAGATTAAAGCTTCTTAATCCGACCATTATTTTTAACTAAATTAAAGCTTCTTAATCCCACCATCATTTTATCCCACTTCAGAGAAAGAACTGCAAGGAGAAGATGAAATTGAACATATTTCAATCACAGAGATGGGTAATTCCACCAGCTATGCTTCAAATTTTTCCTCCCTGTCATGGTTAGTCAACGGTGACTTTCCTCTGGGACCAAATTGGGAAGGTGATTTTGAAACACCTATCAAATAGAAATTTGTGAGAAAGGAAAACAACTGATAGGAGATGAAAAGGGTTGAAACTTACCCTGTTTGAGTTGCATTGGTCCAGTAGCCTTCAATAAGCTTTTGTTCTTCCAAACTCAACTTTGACAAAACATTTCTGAATGACAGTATTTCTTGATACTCCTTCTCAATGCATTTTTCAGGGACACACAAAGGGGCATGTTCTGCATGGTTCTCCTTATCAAGGCCTTGTTCAGGGGCACATTGAGAGGCATGTTCAGCATGGTTCTCCTTACCAATTTGCTTTTCAAGGTCACATAAAGAGATCTACGAGGATATTAAAGTTGTCAATATCCGAGGGCAAAAGCATACAATTTGGACATCTCCAATACCCATTATGCTTCAACGATGAATTCAGGCCACAACATGCATTATGATACCAATGCTGACATTTGTCATACTGGATCATAGGCTCATTGTCATCATTGGTTGCTCCACAGCTACATTCAACCACCCATCCTCTTCCACCCTCCGCCATATAGTTATCACTGTTTTCTATTCCACTAATTCTCACCCACCCTCTTCCCTTCAAATCTTCACCAATTTCAACTCTCCTAAAGGTAGGCGCCACATGATATATTTTGCTAACTTTGTCTCAAGTAAACCATTTTACTATGGAATACGGTGGTTATAAAATAATAGGTATATCAATCATACCTTTCATATCACGGCCATCAATATCTTTCACTGAGAACTCCATAGCCATACCATCACGAGGAAAATTGTTGAAGGGATAGTCGTTTATAAACACTTTGCTATTTAAGATGTTTCTTGTGTGAAAACCTCCCTCCATCAGTATTTTTGTATATATCATCCATAAGTGATCGTTGGCTACATGTTTGTTTGCTCCGTCTTGAAGAAGACGACTCGCAGAGTATTAGCCTAAGAAGATCTTTCAATTCTTTAATATGAGAGTGGGAATTATGAAATGGTAGTAGAATTTGGATACCCGATTATATAGGAAAGGTCACACTCTCATGTTAAAGAATTGAAAGATCTTCTTAGGATAATGCTCTACGAGTCGTCTTCTTCAAGACGAAGCAAAAAAACATGTAGCCAACGATCACTTATGGACGATATATACAAAAATACGGATGGAGAGAGGTTTCCACACACAAAACATCTTAAGCAGCAAAGTGTTTATAAAAGACTATCCCTTTAACAATTTTCCTCGTAATGGTATGGCTATGGAGTTCTCAGTGAAAGATATTGATGGCTGTGATATGAAAGGTATGATTGATATACCTGTTATTTTATATCCATCGTATCCCATAATAAAAGGGTTTACTCGAGACAAAGTCAGCAAAATATATCATGTGGCGCCTACCTTTAGCATGGTTGAAATTGGAGAAGATTTGAAGGGGAGAGGGTGGGTGAGAATTAGTGGAATAGAAAATAGTGATAGCTATATGGCGGAGAGTGGAAAAGTATGGGTGGTTGAATGTAGCTGTGGAGCAACCAATGATGACAGTGAGCCTATGATCCAGTGTGACGAATGTCAGCATTGGTATCATAATGCATGTTGTGGTCTGAATTCATCGACGAAGCATAATGGGTATTGGAGATGCCCAAAATGTATGATTTTGCCCTCGGATATTGACAACTTTAATCTCCTCGTAGATTAATGGGCGCGCATTGGTCACCTAGGCATGCTCCGACGAAGCCTAGGCGAGTTTCTGCCCACTCCCAGAAAATAGAGGTGAAATTGCTGCCGCCTAGGCGCACCCCGAGGCAAGTTTTTTAAAACACTGATCAAAATGAAAACATCAATACAGAACTATAATATGGAACAGCAAAAAAAATAAACATCAGTCCAGAAATTCAATAATATGGTAGCAAAAAAAATCAATCCCCAGTATAAACATCAATCAATTTACAGGTTGAATTAAAAAGGACACAAAATCAAGGCCGTTGAATACAGCCTACAATTTATGTTTGACAAGAAGCTAGAGACAGGCTCATTATCTTCTACTGTGTTGGTTATATCTCAACAGGATAAATTAAAGTCATACTTTTACTTTCAAATTTGACAGTGGTTACATCCGATTAAGGGTTGGTAATGGAAATCCCACCCACCATGAATATCAGATAAAATAACTATACAAGTAAAAGATCCCTAACAATTAGTAATGCAAAAGAAAAATGAAAACATAGACAAACTGAAACATACTCCAGCATATCTGCGTTAGTTGGCAATAGCAGTGTGCTGATTACCTGCCCCGGAGTTACGGACAAGCTTAACCATAGCTCCCCTTCTTTTTTATCAACTCTGTTAATGCTTATAGCATAGCATCAGGTTGCCAAGTTTCTGGCCCTCCAAACTACAAAGACTACCTTCACCACTCTGTGAGCTCACTTAGTGGCAAGCAAACAGTATCAAATTAGTGATCGATCATCACTAACTTGTCATTATTCAGTATGTTTTCTCCAAAATTCCAAATCCCCACCTCCCAAAACTCCATTCATATTCATAAGCACACCTCTATCTCAGTCTCGTCTGGGTTTTTATTTCGTTCAGTCATTTTCACAAAACACCACGATGGCGGCACAAGACTATGCAGTCACAATCCTAAATTCTAAACCCTTATTAAGTCTAACTTAAGTACGCATTACTGACAATTTTGAAGTTGCCAGTCTTTTCCCTAGTTGAAATTATACACAAGACTCGAAGAAACACAATATCCACCAATCCACCAATACAACTAGAACAGTCCAGCAATAGAAACAAACTTAAACATTTACACACCTGATGAGCTGCAGTAATTGCAAAAAGGATCAGTTTCAGATTAATCTTCCAAAACTGTGCAGGTCGTTATGTAGAGGGGAACTCGTCTTACACCTAGATTATTCTTGTGTATAAGTTTGCAGGTCGACACACCATCATGTATTTCATTGCAAAGATCTAAGAACCTCTCAATATTTTCGTAAAAACGACCCTTCAAAGGCTGATGGTAAATCTTCAATCAAAGCTCTGAAACTGCAATTGCTGAAATAGATACAGACAGAACTTTCCTGAGGAAGGAAGATTATATAAATTATTAAAACTAAAAAATTTTTAAAGAGAGCTGACTTGTTGGCCATACAAGTTCTTAAAATAATCAAACACGCACAATATTACCTTGGGCTGAGGCTGAGGGTCATCCAAGAATGTCAGAAGACTGTCGCCGACCTCAGGTTGTTCCATGATACTGAAATTTCACAAAAACCGAAAAGATTAAAAGTTCGAACCCATAATGAATTTAAAATTTGAACCCATTGCACAGCATTATGTGCACTGATCTATTTGCCAAACAATCCGGGAAGAAAATACAATTAGCCGTATTTAAAGGTACAAATTTTTCATCTAAATGAGACGACCCTATTGATTTCTCCAAAAAGACAAGAAACAGTCCAATAGAGAAAGAAAAGTATTAAAGTGGAAGAATAAATTCTATACCAAAAACTTTTTCCCAAGTAATTAAGAGCAACTCCACCCTGGAGCCCTCCCTCCCAGGCAATCCACTATTCAATCTACACTGTGAACAGTAACTACCATAATGAACAGTAACTTCCTTTTGCATTTCCAACGTTGCACTTAAATAGCCCTGGCAATAGGCAATAAAATATTATTAATTTTTTTTTTATAAAATAATACTAAATAAATTTATTTGTAATTTCTGATAAAATATTTTAAATCGTTTTTGTTGCGTCACGTGTCATTTATCCAAAACGACTATTATTGGTCATAGATGTCGATAAGATTTTTATCTAATGTCATCGTGCCACGTGTCGTTATCTTTTCAGAATCTTTGAGGATATATTTCGATCAGATTTTAAATCATTCTCGTTGTGCCACGTGTCATTATCCGAAAAGATAATTATTGGTGATGGATTTCGATAAGATTTTTATCCAATGCCGTCGTGTCACGTGTCGTTATCTTTTCAGAATCTTTTAGGATAGAATTTGATCAGATTTTTAACGAATGACGGCATGCCACGTGACACTATCTACAACCTAATCATTTCAGAATCCTCCATATAATCTATCATCCATCCTTTTAAATCTCACACCAATTTTCTCAATATCTCTATCATTATTTATAGTTTCTGCTTCCTTCTTCACCAAATCAAAATATGTATCATTATTCATAGTTTCTACCAAGGAAGAAAATATCGGTAATATCGGAAATATCGGTAGTCCGAAAACACGGAAATATCGATGGAAATATCGGGATAATATCGATATCGATAAAAATTACATGGAAACCACGGAAATTGTAAGAAAAACTTGGAAATTTTTAATGAAACTTTGCAGGATGTTTATTTAGTCAATTATCTATTAGTTTATCACAAAAAATTAGAAGGAAATGCATTGCATGATGGATTTAACTGATTTAAGTTGATTATATAGCGAGCTGGCAAACATTGTGAGTGTAGAAAATATGTAGTAATTAATGAAAGAAGTTTAAACACACCATAATCATTTATATATAATTAATTAGTACAATATTGGGAGGTTTTATTTAGGATATAAAAAAAAAAAGGGAAGTGAATAAAATGATGAAGAATAATGTGCCGAATTTGACACTTTAAATTTCTTACACATAAGCATGCGTCTAGGCGTTGAAGTTCCAAATTATAGTATATCAATTAACGATTGAAAATCAATACGTTGAATAAGACTAAATTTTAATTTGGATGCCGATTATGTTTTTTCAAGTTTATATAAAGTAAAAGAATTGAATTTTGGAAGCCAGGAGTGTGTCAATTGTTTTATAATTCGTCCGAATACATATATCAGGTTGCTACTCAACGTAATTTGAAAGTATATCTAGTGCAAGGACTTGTCTTTTTTTGTTGATAAGCAAAGGGTTTGTAGCTTTTTTTGCTAAGCAGTAGAACATATTTTGGTTTTCCGGCCAAACCACGGCGAGTTGGCCGGCGTGCAAGGTATCAATCTCTTCGTCTCGTCGAGTAGTACAACTTTCCTTTTTGTTTCACTCAATTTCGTTGAGTATTGAAAAAGTTATACTCATTTGAATCTTACCCAGTTTCCGGCGACCTCAGTGACTTTCGAGGCATTTTCCGGCCAAACCACGACGATTCAGACGTTGTGTGAGGTACCATTCTCTTCGTCTCTTCGAGGGCTACAACTTTCATTTTTGTCTTGCTTGATTTTGTTGAGTTTTGACAAAGTTATGGCCGTTTAAAGTGGGTGTGGATTTTCGGCCGAAATTCCTATTTTCTTCCTTGGTCGAGTCCCACATCGCCCAGTGAGGGGTAGTGAGCAAGCCAAGAACGCCTATAAAAAGCACATTCACATGCTGAGAAAAGCATGTCTTGGTTGGCCTTTGGGCTTTGATCAAGTGTAGTATATGTTGAGATTTCTCAACATTTTTAAGTATATTTGAATATTATATTGCGATATTATCGATAATTTTAAAAATATCGCGATATTTTGACGAAAATCATTCGGATAGTTAAAAAAATTTCGGACCTTCAAAAAACGATAATATCGGCGAAATATCGCCGATATTATCGATTTTTTCTTCCATGGTTTCTACTTACAATGTCTTCTTCTTCAAGCAGGATGTGGGAAATCGATCAAGAAGAGAAAGAATTGTTTAACCAATCTGAAGGAATGTTCAATCTCCATATAGCCCAAAATGAGAAGGAAGAGGATGAGGAGCGAAGAATGAGAGATGACGAAGCAAGAATGGCCAGAGACTCACATTCCCATCGAGTCATCCAAGCTGTGGCTCAGATATGCAGGCCCACCCGTTCCGGAAACCTTGATAGAAGCATGGAAAAATGAGGTGTGGAGCTATTGGATGATTATTTTGTCAATAATAGTGCATTTCCTGATACGTACTTCAGATGTCGTTTTAGAATGGAACGACATTTGTTCAACAAAATCATGATTGTTGTTTACAACCACGATTCTTACTTTTTGCAAAAGAATGATGCTTGTGGTGCTATGGGTCTCCTTCTCGAGCAAAAAATTACTGATGCGCAGCTGATGCTTGCGTATGGAGCATCTGCAGAGCAAGTGGATGAGATAGCAAGGATGGGGAAATCAATCATTCTTAAGTCCCTGATGAGGTTTTGCGAAGCAATCGAATCTATCTACATCGCAGAGTACCTCCGGAAACCTACTCACATGGACTTGGAAAGGCTTCTGAAGAAGGCCGAGATGCGAGGTTTTTCCTATGATGATTGGGAGCATTGATTGTATGCATTGGACGTGGAAAAACTGTCCAAGTGTAAATAATACAAACAAATAATTACAATGTAAATTTGGGTATAGTACAGACAAATAAATAATATATTGTTACCTGATCCGTGTAATTTTCCCCACTTCGAAGATTACTACTAACTTTTGCCAAGGCGTCTCTCCAAATAGCAAACAATTGGCTAAGTAATTTCCAACGACTAGACATCGATTCTTTGGTTCTACTTCTACCCATTTTCTCAAGATAATTGGTATGAATAAGACTCCACATTTCTCGCAACTGCATCTCATTACCCGTAAGCGAACTATGAGTAACTTCAACCCAACTAGTACACAACGCAACATCTTCAAGAAGCGATCAATTCGTACTTGCATCAGTAGTCATTTTATTGAAAACAATTGGATTGAAACTTTGAGAGAAAGATAGGAATTTGATTGAAAGTAGTTGAGAAAATATGAAATTGTGGTGTAAGGTAGATGATAATGATAAGGTATTTATAGAAAAATAGAAACATTTTTTTTTAAATTTTCAGATATTTTTTTTCGAATTTTTTACAATTTTTAAAATTTTTTTATTCAAATAATTAATCTCTTGGATTTAAAAAAAATTTAAATTCCAACACTTCAAATGTGCAACGTGTCACAACAGTAACTTTTCTTAATTTTTAAACTATTTTTTTCTTTTTTTTTTTAATTTATAAAGCAGATTAATATCAACCATTGATCTCAGATCGAACGGTTGATATTAAAGCAGTTTTTTTTATTATCGTTTCAAATCGGACGACTCATATTAAAGAGCCGTTGAGATCGAACGGACCGTGGGAAGCCACGTGGCTTCTCAACGGTCACTTACATTTCCTAGCGCGCGGGCCACGTGCCCTGTAAACTTGTCGGGTGACGCGCCTCCACTCACGAGTGAGGGGCATGCGCCTGACACAAAAAAAATAAAAAAAAGACTGACGCCAAGCCTGACGTCAGACCCACCTCGTGCTGAAGGGCTGGCAATCCCTCGCAGGCCTGGCCCTTGGGCTCCCACCCTCACTCAGGCTACCCAATGCTGGAGCCGAACCCATCGGCCCTCGGGCCCTTTCCTCTTGCCTGTCCCCCGAGCAAGGTCCAACGATGGACTTGCTCTAACATTGGCACTCTAGTTTGGACTATCACCTATATCATAAGGTGTTGATGAAGTTGGAATTAGATGAGTTTTGAATTAGACTATAACTTATATCATAAACTTTTATTATGTCTATATAAAAGGGCTATTGTACTAGTTTTGAATTGGGAGCAAAACAATAAATTTGTATACATTTAAGGAGTTAAAGTGAGAGAATATTGTAAAGTGTGTGCGAGAGAAAAGAAAATATTTGTGTACATTTGTATACATTTGTATACATTTGTGTTACCTATTTGGTTTTCGTGTCTTATTTGGGTTTGGATTTTGACTTCTTAGTTGGTTTCCTTGGTGGAGAGATTTTGTTAATTACCTATTTGATTAGGATTTGATTTACTTCCTATTAGGATTCTTATTGCAACCTAAGTCCTATACACTATAAAAAGGATCTTAGGGATAGTGTATTTCGTGTGGCTCATTCGTGTGGCAATTTGGTGAGAGTCAATTTGTGAGTTTGTGAATTAATGAACAATTTGGGAGAATCTTCTCCGTTTGTTTGAGTTCTCTACTTGTTTGGTTTAGGGTTTGTAATTTGTGGGATTTGGGTTGTGAGAGTTTAAACACTCTTTTGTAATCTCCGTTTGTTTAGTGAAATTCCTTGCCGTGATTCGCCCGTGGAGTAGGCTTTACGCCGAACCACGTAAATCTCTTATGTTAGTTTGAGATTGTTTGTTTTAGCTTTCACCTAAGACGTTGATATTTGGTACCTTGTTATAATTCGCTTTCGTTTACGCATAAAAGTACAACAGCTCTAACTGAGTTACGTGGAATTCAAGAATGGAGGACACGCGTTATTGAAGGTGTTAAGATCAAGCCAGCAAACATGTCTCATGCTGATTGGACCAAGATGAAGATAAGTGATGTTTTCCGGCAAAAAAGTCTATAATTGCCGTAGCGAATGATGGTGGTAGTTCGGATCAAGGAGAGCCTGGTCAAGAGAAGTCTGATCAAGTGGAGCTTGGTCGAAAGAGAAGTTCAATCAAAGGGATTCTGGTCATGAGTAGTTCAATTAGGGGGAGTTTGGCTATGAGTAGTTCAATCAGAGGGAGTCTGGTCATGAGTAGTTCAATCAGTGGGAGCCTAGTTATGAGAAGTTTGATCAATAGGAGCTTGATCAAGAGAAGCAATCCTATTTTTCAGTATACATTCCTCATGGTTTGGAGGGGGAGATTGTTAAGTTTTTCCAACCCATTATAAGTTGTCCTAAGTGTATTGGGAATTATTAGTCTTAGAGGATTATATTCTTTTCCCAATTGAAGTTGTTTCTCAATTGGAGTTGTTTTCCCAATTGGATTTAGTTTCTCGGTTGGAGAAAGATTCGTAACTAGATCCCAATTAGGATTAGTAATTCTTATTGAAGGAACTTTTATTATGTCTATGTAAAGGGGCTATTTTACTAGTTTTGAAATTGGGAGCAAAACAATAAATTTGTATACACTCAAGGAGTTAAGAGTGAGAATGTTGTAAAGTGTGCGAGAGAAAAGAAAAGAGGTAAGAGTATATTTCTTGTTCTCATTCTTTCAAGTTTATCGTCAAGTCTTAATCATAGAGGCTTGGCAAGATTATTGGTTGTAATCATTATTGATATAGTGAAAGATTATTGTTGTCCCGTGGACGTAGGCACATATAGTTGAACCACGTAAATTCTTTGTGTTGTTTATCTTGGTTATTTGTTCTCGATTTCTGAGTTTGTTTTGTTTTTCCCATTCTTAAAGGCGATGTTCACAAGTGTTATCAGAGCCAAGTTTGGCTGATATCCGTTTAGAATGGAGGGTGTGATTACGATGAACTCACCCGTTCTAACTAAGTCACGTGGAATTCAAGAATGGAAGACATGCATTACTGAAGGTGTTAAGATCAAGCTAGCAAGCATGTCTGATGCTGATTGGACCAAGATAAAGATGAGTGATGTTTTCTGGCAAAGAAGTCTATAATTGCCTTTGCCAATGATGATGGTAGTTCTGAACAAAGGGAGCCTGGTCAAGAGAAGTCTGATCAAGAGGAACTTGGTCAAAAGACAAGTTCAATTAGGGAGATTCTGGTCATAAGTAGATCAATTAGAGGGAGCTTGGCTATGAGTAGTTCAATCAGTGGGAGCCTAGTCATGATAAGTTCAATCAATAGGAGCAATCCTATTATTGGTATACCTTCCTCATGGTCTAGAAGGGGAGATTGTTAAGTTTTTCAACCAATGATAAGTTGTCCTAAGTCTATTGGGAATTATTAGTCTTAGAGGGTTAAATTCTTTTCCCAATTGAAGTTGTTTCTCAATTGAAGTTGTTTACCCAATTGGAGTTGTTTTCCTAATTGGATTTAGTTTCTCAATTGGAGAAAGATTCATAACTAGATTCCAATTAGGATTAGTAATCCTCATTGAAGGAACCTTTACTATGTCTATATAAAGGGGTTATTATACTAGTTTTGAATTGGGAGCAAAACAATAAATTTGTATACCACTCAAGGAGTTAGAGGGAGAATATTGTAAAGTGTGTGCCGGAAAGAAATGAGATAAGACTGTATTTCTTGTTTATCGTCAAGTCTTAATCCTAGAGGCTTGGAAAGATTATTGGTTGTTCTCATCATTGACACAATGAAAGATTTTTGTTGTCCCGTGGATGTAGGCACATATAGCCGAACCACGTAAATTATTGGTGTTATTCATTTTGGTTATTTGTTTTTTATTTCCGAGTTTGTTTTGTTTTTCCCATTCTTAAACGCGATGTTCACAACAAGTGGTATCAAAGCAGGTTTGGCTGATACCCGTTTAGAATGGAGGGTGCGATTATGATGAAACTCACCCCCTCTAACTGAGTTACGTGGAAACCAAGAATGGAGGACATGCTTTACTCAAGGTGTTAGGAGCAAGCCAGCAAGAATGTTTGATGCTGATTGGACCAAGATGACGATGAGTGATGTTTTCTAGCAAATAAGTCTATAATTGCCTTTGCCAATGACAATGGTAGTTCTAATCAGGGGGAGCCTACTCAAGAGAAGTCTGATCAAGAGGAGCTTGGTCAAAATAGAAGTTCGATCAGGGAGATTCTGGTCATGAGTAGTTTAATTAAGGGGAGCTTGGTTATGAGTAGTTTAATCAAAGGGAGTTTGATCATGAGTAGCTCAATTAAGAGGAGTTTGGCTATTCTAACATGTTTTGTGTCATGCGCAAATGGGTGTGCTGGATTGTGATCGCAGGGTGCTAGTACAAGTGATGAACTAAGTTTCTTGAGGTCCAATTTGTTGAGACTATTTATGGCAGGTAATCGAGGAATTAGCTCGTTTGAATTGACTCATGCGATTGCTAAGGAATACTTGTATTGTACTTTCATTTCTGTCCTCAGTTATTCGAAAGCATGTAATACTTGTATTGAGCTAATCCTAATTAATAAAGTACCTACAATTAAACCCAGATGCTAAGCATACAAGCACCTGCATGCATTACATTGTTAATAAGAAATCTCGAGAGTGAAATTCTCGGACAGCACAGTTAACAATATAATAAAGAAATTCAATAAAACTAAGAATACTACTATTCCAATTGCTTGAATGGTTTTAAACACAAATGACGAAATAAAAGCATTTTCTGCAAGAAAATTGTGCGAGGATCTAGAAAAAGTAATTAAAGCTTCGGAAGTACTGACCTGACTACTGACTAGTGTGCAATGAAATTCCAGCTCATCTTGAAAGGAAACTTTTAAGACGACGCTCCTCCTGCACTTCTTTTCTCACAGACATTTTATCAAACACCTTACTTACACAACACTTAAACAATGATGGACACCATTTTTGGCTCAAGTATGCCAGCAAAAATGAAAGAGAAAATTATGAGATTGAGTGGGAAACCAAACAGGAAAATGGAACTAAAGGCGGTAAAAAATGACCCGAGATTAAGAGGGAAACCACAGGGAAATGGCAGTAAAGGCAGTAAGAATATGATCGATACTAGGGTTGGGCTGTTGGTGGTTTTTGCGTACGGTCCAAATAGTCAGGACTCAAGAAATTTCACTACTTCACTTCTCAATTTTTACGGTGCTACATACAAGAGGTGGAAATTTAATTTCTCATATTTCCCGGTCCTACAAACGGAAACGTTTTTAGGATAGGGGTAAGAATTGTATTTAAAAAACAAAACCAATTAATACAAAAAGCTACCAACAAAAATAAGAATTTATCAATTTAACCATTTGACAGTATGGGTCCAGTCAACGCTTTTATTGCTCCATCGTTGACCAAATGGCGGTGTTGGCTTCTCTTCTCATATCTTTTCCGATAAGCCGAGATAGATAGCCTCCGTAGAGAGAAAGACTTACATGGAACAATTCGTCGCCGACCGGTGGCGATGTGAATCCGTTTTATGAAAGTCTCTCTCCTCCGTAGGCATGGGATCCTGCGATTCATAGCCACACCCTCAACTCGTCGAAGCTAGCGTTGGCTTCCAGGCACAGTTCTTCCGGTTGCCTTATGATAAAACCCTAATCTCAACCCTAGCTCAACCTTAAGGCCATCTCCAACCAAAGGATGGCCAGAGGGCTCGTTTTAGCCATCTAGCCCTCTAAGAAATTAATATTTTAATGAATAGTGCATGGCCATATTTCTTACCATCTCCAACTGAGGGCCAAACTTAATTTATTACTTAAATTTAAAAACTACAATAACTTAAATTTAAAAACTACAACTTATATTTAAAAACTACAACTAAAATTTATAAAAAAAAAAAACAACTTAAATTTAAAGTCCATAATCAACATCATCTTCATCATCCGCCATTGTAGGAGTATAGCCGAAGGTAAACAACTGCCGCCAGGCCATAATTTTCCTCTTTTTTTTTTTTATCAAAATAGGCCTTACTCATTGGATTGTAATCCGAAGTGTTCCTTTGCATATTCCTATCATTCATCTCTTCTT